GATTCACTCCCAGGTACCCTGCCCACAAAAAGACGAACAGTAGATTTGAATAGCTCTTCCTAGTCATTGAATGAAACATTTGAATCTCATCAAGGTAGATATTTACTGTAAATTTATGACTGTACTGTTATCTCAATAAAAGTACCGGTAACTTTTTTAAAAAAATAGACAAGGTAGTATTTAAAATCATATGGAAAAATAGCATGTAAATAAGAGAGCAAAAAGAAAGAACTGTGAGAGGGGCTAGACCTGTCAGACATTAAAACCTGTATAATTAAAACAGTGTCACTGAGCATAGACCAAGATAGAAGAAAAAAAAAATCTAAAAATGGACTCTACCGGTATGGTGGCTCGCATCTATGATCCCAGCACTCCAGAGGCCAAAACAAGAGGACTGCCATGAGCTCAAGGCCGGCCTGAACTACTTAGCAAGACCCTGTCTCAAAAACAAACAAAACTAAAACAGAACCCAACTAAATAAAAATGGACCTGAACGTATACAGAACATTAGTTTTTAAAAGTACCTCCAGTGACTGGGACAAAGATGAGCTTTTTACTAAATGGTGTTGGGCTCACTGGTTAAAATGAATGAAGGCCCAGATGGATCACTAATCCAAATAATGAAGTGTATGTGTATACTAGAGGAATGCATGAGTAATATGAAATTATCTATGTGACTCAAAGTCCACATACAATGCAATATTGATGCATATGACTACCACAACTGAAAAACGTTGCCATGTAAACGAAGTCAATAGTAAAGTCTATGAAGTACATTACAGGCTAATATTAACATTACGAGGAGTGAAAAATGATGGGCAAAAAAGCACAAACAGATAATTTATAAAAGGTATAAAAACAGCCTCTGAAATGCAAGATCGACTTTCAGCATAAGAGAAATGTAAATTGAAATTGCACCAAAATGCGATTTTCCATCCACCAGATTGTTAAAAAAAAAAATGAAAAGTTTGACAAAATCTGCTTAGAAAGGCACGTGTACATTACTGCTGGCAGTGCAAAATAGTTCCACTCCCTACAAAGGGGTATTTGAAGATAACAGTATTATGTGTGCATTTCTCTATTCACTCAGCATGTGTACAAGTAGGAACGTAATAGCACTACAATATATATTCAGAGTCAACACAGTATTACATGTAATGGTAAAGTATTGTAAACTACCTAAATGCTTCAACACGGGAGACTGATTGATAAAAAAACCAATAAGGAAGAGCTGCATGCACTAGTGTAGTTATTTCTGATAGTATACAAAAAAAAGCAAAGTGATAAAGTATAGATAGCAGGCTTTCCTTTTGGTAAAATAAGAAAGCATGCTTTTTTTCTTCTTCATCAAGAAACAGAATTAACAAAAAGTGAAATTGGTTACACTGTGAGGAGGTTTGTGTGAGGGGCTGGGCTGAGTATAAGGGACAAGGAAGGCCATGTTTGACTTTTAGGACCATGTGAGTGTTGTGTATGTTGGAAAAGTAAAGTCAACAAGAATTGGGGGGCTAAATGTGTTGGCAAAAAATAAATGCATCTAATAAGCTGAAAAATGAAAAACTGAATACAGTTTCAAATTAATGAAATAACACCGAAGGGGGAAAGGGACACAAGTAAATTCACAAATGACAGTGAATCCAAGTACTGTGTGTTTTTTTTTAAAAAAATTTTTTTGTGTTGGGAATCGAACTCAGGACCTTGCACTTGCCAGGTAGGTGCTTGTGCCGCTGAGATATATTGCCGGCTGTATTTTTTTTAATGTGAAAAAAAACCCCTCAAATTTGCCTTTGATTTTTTGAGTTTATTTTAGTTTTTTTTTGTTTTTTGTTTTTTGTTTTTTTGTTTTTTCTCTGGTACCAGGAATCGAACTCACGACCTTGCACTTGCCAGGCAGGCGCTGTGCCACTGAGCTAAATCCCCAGCCCTTGAGTTTATTTTAGGATAAAGGAAATTAATAGATATATTGGTGTTAGTGGAGGAAGGCAAATAGAAACTCTGTGGAGTTAAATTGGACTTGGAAGCAACAGTACAAGCTCAGGATTTCTAACATACACACCCGAAGGGCCGGGGATATAGTTCAGTGGCACAGGCGCCTGCCTGGCAAGCGCAAGGTCCTGAGTTATATCCCTAGTACCGCAAAAAAAAAAAAATTATGGGGATTTAGCTCAGCGGCACAGCGCCTGCCTGGCAAGCGTGAGATCATGAGTTTGATTCCCCATACCAGGCAAAAAAAAAAACAAAACAAACCCCTAAAATGAGTGTGACTCCAGCAAACTTTTGGGACACACTTAGAGTTTGCATTTAGTTTCTAACTACTGTTCCTCACTAAAGCGATCCAGGGGCCCCCCGCGCTGGCGAGGGGATGGGAAGAGGTAAGCCTGGAAAATTTTGTTGCAGAAATGATAGAGATGATCAGAAAATGCTAGCATGCTAAAGAGGCTTAGGAACAAGTTGAATGGGCTCCCAGTGGCCGATTTAAGACACTGTGACCATGAAGATAGACAGTAATATAGTCCTTTAAGGATGGGCCCATACTGTTGATCGGTAACAGTAAAGTGCACGTCGTATGTGACAGCATATAGACAGATAATAGGTGAGAAGAATTCTATGTTGATGAAAATTCTGACTAGTGACAGAATAATGGTGTAAAAGAAAAATCACCATTTAGCAAACACTAACAAAACTTCATTCAAGTAAAAGCAAATACTACATTTAGGAAGTAAAATTTTGTGAAAAATAGGCTATTTACATAGTTTCAAGGTATTTCCCCACTAATTATTAGTTACCAAAGGAAAACTAGTAGATTTGGATGACTTGGACAACGCCTTAACCAGTTAATTAACATCAGGAGCAGGAAGACATATTGTGATTCTGGCCAGCCAAAAATCTGAGTTTAAGTGTGCAGAAATACCGGAGAAACCTCAGTTGAGAGTTAGACTATAAAATAACTCTTGTATTTAAAAATGTCAGTAGCACGAAACCGAAAACATCACTGAAACTGTAATGTATGTGTGAAAGTTAATATTCATTTTTGGGTTACTCTGAAATGTTACAGGGTGAATGGGTGTGTAACACACGTTACCCGCTCTCAGATGCCTCCGAAGGAATGTGTGTATTTGATGCAGAAGAAGGAGAAGAGGCGAATGATTTAAAGAAATGTGGCTAAGTGTTAAAAATTGGCATATGTGGGTAAAGACCATGCAAGGGTTCTTTGTGCTACTCTTTAATTTTTCTGTAAGTTTGAAATTTTTTTTTATTTTTAGTGCCTTGTCTACTGAAGTTTATTTATTTTTTTAAATTTTTTTTATTTTAAAAATAAAAGGAGGAAAATATTAACAGACAGACAACATTTTACAAAATAGCAAAGGAACAGTACAGATAATACAGAGTTACAAACAAAGTTGTAGGGAATTAACAATGCTTGTTGTATTACATATTGATATCTTCAAAGTGGTTTCTCATGAAAACAGATAGAGACGTACAATGCTGATCAACCAAGGACTCATTGACAGTTTCTTTCAGCAAAGAAATACAAGACAGTAGAACAGCCATGTTGACTATGCTGCATATTGAAATTGTTTTTTAAAGAAATAAAGAATGGTCATAGAAGCCTTATTGCAATTAAAGAAGCAACTCATTTCATCAGCAGAAGATAAAATTACATCACATAAACCGCAGCATGTACACATGCTAAGATCCCACACACACAACACTGGATGTTACACTCACAGACACATTATGCCAAAGAATCCAGATGGAAGAGCATACAAGATTTCATTATATGAAGATATGTACATTTTACTAGAGGTGTGAAGTACCTCAGGATGTTTTCAGGGTTTATTTGAAGGTATCTGTACAAATGTCAGCAGTAGCAAAAACCATGGTAATAATCAGAGGATTAAGGACTGGTGTGTGGCTCGGTGGTTCTGTGTATGGTTTGCAGGCACAAAACCTTGAGTTCCGCCCCCAGCACCACAAGAAAATAAAATCAGGGTTTCTTTCTCTTCTCCCACGAAGTGTAAGAATGGGTTTTCTCCCCTCAGCTGAAGGCAGCGGGAGGGCGGCCAAGGCCTCTGTGGTTAGGAGCAGCCAGCGGGTGACTTGGTAGGAAGCTCCGCGTCGAACCTTGGTTTGGGCTCTCGGGCTCTGGAACTGACCACTGGCCGGTGCCTCCTGGTGGCTTTGCCTGGAGTTCCTAGAGGTTGATGACCATGCTTATTATCGACGCCTTCGGTTCCTAACACACAGTTTTATACAGAGTGACGGGAGTGGGTTTTGCTCCTCACAGGTATCTGCCTTTGGGCCTTTTCAGTTTGCAGAATGTGGATTGTATCCCTTGCGTCCTCCGTGGCCTGTCAGGTGGTATTAAGGGTTGTTGGGAAGTGGATAAACTCATCCATTTACTCTTAAGTATCATTCAGATATTTAGAGAAAAGATGTTGTAAACTATGGCTATGAGGACTGGGTACAGCGTTAATTCTTCGCAGAGTGTCCGACTTTGTGTAATGAACTATCTTCACTGCTTATCTCCTCAAGTTTATATACTGTTCTTTTTTAAAGTGAGTTAGCATGTTAGTTTAAAACATTTATCATTCAATAAGTGTTAACTTTCAATTTTTATTAGCAGGGCTGTGAAGTGGAATTGTCAGTGGAGATATACTGTATATCCTTAACTGTGCTTTGGTTTTTAGCGAATGGAAAAATTAAGAATGGGAGGGTTTAACACTTTTTAACCTAAATGAACCTATTTTACAGACTTTCCTCAGACAGTTCATCCATGCTACCAGTCTCTGCCATATGCCATGCTAAAGAGACTGTACCTGCTCCTGAGTATAAATTGGCTTTGCATTTGAGTTGTGCTCGAGTTGACGGGGCAGGATTCCGATAATTAGTTGTCACGGGTTATGCTGCAGCTTTATTGGAGATAGTTACCAGTTTTCATTATGTTCATTTTTGTCTTTCTTTTTCTTTTTCTTTTTTTGTCCTTTCCCTGTTTGCAGTTCTTCCTCCAGTGCTGGTTCCAAGACACAGCGAATATAATCCTCAGCACAGCCTCCTCGCCCAGTTCCGCACCTCGGGACAAAACGAGCCTCACATGCCACTCAACGCCACTTTTCCGGATTCTTTCCAGCAGCCCAACAGCCACCCATTTCCTCATTCTCCCAACAGCAGTTACCCAAACTCTCCCGGAAGCAGCAGCAGCACCTACCCTCACTCTCCTACCAGCTCAGACCCGGGCAGCCCCTTCCAGATGCCAGGTAGGAGGGAACGCTGGGGGTGTGCTGTGGTCAGACCAGATGGTGCGTACCTAGCCTTGCGGGGAGGCCGGTCTGCCCAGCGTGGCAGGAGCTTCTCAGTTTTGGAATATGCGCTGTGCTCTGGTACTCTAAGGCTAGCAGTTGTGGAAAGAGATTTGCAGCCAAGAAAGCAAATATCTTGTTTTATTTGTCAGGCACAGATGCTTAAATTAGCTATATTTTTCCCCTTGTTTTTAAAAAGTTTTGAAACAGCTGCATCCTTTGGGCGTGGCCTAATTGTTACAGTCTTTCTGGTGATAAAAGAAAGAGAAAAACAGTCTGTTAAACACTAAGCTGTTGTAAGAAACACAGCCTCAGTCGACATCATTTCAGACTTGGAAAAACCCCTGTGTAAGTGCAGACTCAGAAAAGAGAGCTCATGAAGGAGCACACACTCCCATGTGATTAAATTTATTAGAATGGGGATGTAGTCCCAAGAAACATACACTTTAACAACAAAGGAATTGCAGCCCAGGTCCTGGAAGCCATCTGCTTGTTTAACTTAGCAAAGACAAAAGAACAATTATTTTCCTTTTTTAGACATAACTGATGGTGTAATGGCTATCAAAATAAGTGATTAATTATTACATTACATTGTTCACATTATAGGTTAATAAACAAGCATCCCAGAAAAAAACAGCATTAAATTTCTTGACAGTAGGCCTCAAGGATGCTCCTGTACTTCAAATATTTTAACAGTTGGGGGAGGGAAAATGACTGGCAAAGCATGTTTGTTGGGCTGCTTAACATGTTTTTCAGTAAACTTGAAATCATCAGCACTGGGCTTTCAGAAAGTGAAAAGTGGTCCACATTTTATATATATTTTTAATGCTTTTGTTACTCCTTTTATTTAAGCCATTTTATTTTGCATTGTGTTGTTTGATTTCTCAATCCAAAACTGGGATGAAGGTGGAAGATAGAGTAGTTTAAAAGTCAAACAAGCCGGGAAAAAACCCAAGGGCAAAAACACCCGCCCGGCAAACAAAAAGGTAAGAAGTCAAACCCCGGGAACAAAAAAAAAAAAAATCAAACTAATGATATTTGGTGATTTCCTGTCTGCCCCACTCCCTGTAAACCCTGCGCACTGATGGACAGGTTAGTTAAGTTTCAGAGGACTTTTGAGCAATGGCGACCCCAGGTGAACTCAAGTGAAAAGCTTGAAGATTATTGCTTGAATTCCTACTTTGTCCTTGGCTGTCAGAGATTCCAGACAGGCCAAGTCGAAGAAATATGGAAAAGGAAACGGAGGAAACACCTGTGGGAATACTAGAACAGCACCAATAATTATCTGGTCCCCCTGAGCATTACTTATGCCACAGATTGCCAATGAGATTTTCACCAGCTCATTGGCAGAAATTCACTGATTCAGGTCAGAGGAGGCTGCCTTCACTAAAGCAGAGTCAGCCTTGCAGCTCAGGGAAGAAGTTGAATTTAAAATGGAGAAAGAGGAAAGAAAGTGTCCCTGTGAGGCTGCCTTAGTTCCATCTCTGTGCTGAGTCACTGCTTCTGAGAAGCTAGGTGGTGGGGTGTTGGGTTCAGCAAGTCAGGGGGAAATCACTGAGGAGCTCCAAGGGGCAGTGTTAGTTTCCTGTCCCAGGGTTGCCCCTGGTACTTAGCCAAGCATTCCTGACCCCGTAAGATAAAAGTTGGTTGCTGAGGTTCTGTCACTTATGCTAGGTGGACTTAAAAGAGGCAATGAGGAACTGAAGTTTGGACTGCAAAAGATTGTTTATGAGAAAACACCAGGCTTGTGTTAGTGTCGTTTCAGAAGTCATTTTGTTTGTCAGCTGGCGGTGTGCTCTTCAGAAGCAACTGTGTATAAGTTGTGAGATAAAAGATACTGGAGATAAACTGATTTGTTTTCTGTTACTCTGTTTTAGGGATTGTAAAGCTAGTGGTTACTTAAGTGGGTAGGGAGAAGATAGTTCTAACAGATTGCTTAAAGTCCTTAAAAAATTAATAGTCTAAATCAATAGGCCATAATGAAACCCAGATGGCAAATTCCTAAAAGCCCGTAGGTATTATGTAAGAGACCCTGAAAACTCCTTTTCTTAATAAGTGCCATGTATGGTAGCTTTCAAATGCTTCATACCCATTAGTAAAAGTGGAGTGCAGTCCTCTCAGAGTAGACTGTAGGTCAGTACGGTTAGTTGTTTTTAGAATGGCGTGATCCTACATAGACACAAAGCCCCTAGAACTGCCATGCAGTGATCTTCTTCCCACTGAGTTGACACTAAAGACACAGAAGGTTTGGGGGTGGTAATCATTTTCAGAAATTGTACACCAAGCCCAGTGTCTGTAGCACCCAGTCGTTTGATGAAGTTAACATGGCAGTGTGTGAGTTTCATATCACAAGAATATGTTTCAAGCATAATTTTTAAACTTTGTAGCTGATACGCCTCCACCTGCCTACCTGCCACCTGAAGACCCCATGACCCAGGATGGCTCTCAGCCAATGGACACAAATATGATGGCGCCTTCATTGGCCTCTGAAATCAGTAGAGGAGGTAAGATGAGCTGCTACTTGTTTCCTTTTTAGGGTCTAAAGCAGCAGTCCCCAACCTCTCTGGTAGCAGGGAATGGTTTTGTGGAAGATTTCTTTTTCCACGGACGGGAGGGCAGGGAATGGTTTTGGGATAATTCAAGTACATTGCATTTATGTTTCACTTTTTTTCTGTTAGTGTTACGTTTAGATTCACATAAGAAGCAGTGCAGCCTAGATCCCTGGCATGTGCAGTTCACACAAGGGTTTGTTCTCTTGTGAGAATCTGGTGCTGTTGCTGATGTGATAGGAGGCAGAGCTCAGGTGGTGATGCAAAGCTGTCAGTACTGGTGAAGCTCCACTCACTTGCCCGCCGCTCTCTTCTCGCTGAGCAGGCATTTCCAGCAGACCACAGACCAGTGCCAGTGGCCCAGGGCTGGGTCCCCTTGGTCCAAAGTCTGTTCATCCAAGTATTAGTTCTCTCACAAACTTCTGTTAGTTTTTAAAAAGACAGCTGTTAGAGATAGGTAGAGAAGCTCGATGGGAAACAGTCCTTGGATAATAAATACGTCTTTTAAGCAAACACACTGTCTTAGCTACCAAAAATCAGTGTAACTGTGCAGCCGTCCATGTAGATCTTCAGTACTTAATCATTTAGGATTGGTGATGCGAAGGACGTTTTGAAGTGGACAAGGGGGGCTGGAGAAACAGCGTAACAGCAGAGTGAAGTTCACACCTGTGACTTTCAGAATTGGAAGTTCATGCGAGTGGAGTTTCCACAAGGTTTCTTTCGTGTTTAGAAATGATATTCATTAAGTCCTGTTTTCCAGCCCTTCACTGATGTATCCATGCAACTGAAACTACCTGCTAGCATTTGTTTCTTGGTGTATTTGCTTCTAACTGAAATTAAAAAGTATGGCAAGGAAAGAAATTTAGGCATGAGTTTTTCTACTTCTCACCATGAAGCTGGAAGTTTCTTTGTCTCTCTAATGAAGGGTGGGTCTTTATTTCCTCCATATTATCTTTGGCAATGACTGTGTGGAGGATGCTTTCTTTCTTCCAAGTTGCCCAGCTACCAGTTTAGTGGCCTTAAGTGAGCAGAGAGCTCAGGGAGGTAAGTGGTGGAACCCGAGAGCACCTGGAAGACACCACGGCCATGCTGGGGAATTAAATTATTCCCAGGCCAGCTCTTAGGGAGCAAAGTGCTTCATACCAGGCACGAATTATTCAGTTCGTATAAAGTTCATGTAAATTGAAGTTAAAATACAACTTGATTGCTAAATATTTCTTATTCTCAGCAAATTTTTTGTTAAAATAGGAAATACCTCAGACGTTATCAGAATTGATTTTACTGGGGATTGAACACAAGGTCTTGGCAGTGAGCTCCATCCCCAACCCTTTTTTTTTTTCTTTTTTGAGACAGGGTGTTGCTAAGTTGCCCAGGCTGGGATTGAACTTGGGATCCTCCTGCCTCAGCCTCATAGAGTGCTGAGATTATAGGAATGGACTACCAGACCTGGCTTGCTTATATTCTTTGAGTACTAAAATTTTGATGATATCTGTACAATACAATAATAATAGCTGCATGTCATTATATGCATTTGTCCAAATCCATGGACTTTATCATACCAAGAATGAACCCTAATCTAAATTATGGAATTGGGTGATAATTATGTATCAGTATAGATTCACGAGTGGAAGGTATTGATAACAGGAGGTTGTGCACTTGTAGGGGCAGGAGGCATTTGGGAAATCTCTCTACTTCATCCTCAGTTTTGCTAGGAACCTAAACCTGTTCTAAAAAGTTATATTTTAAAAGTGATGATGAGCTGACAGAACCCTTTTAGCTTTACAGTTTGATAAATTGTGATGTACAACTCTTTAATCAGTAAAACTTTTTAGAATCTCTTTATTCCATTTTATGGCTCCTTATCATTTCTAGAACATCCTCTCAAACATGTAATTACAAACCAGCAAAGACTGTGGTTGGGAAAATAACCCCTGTCCCACACATTTTTGGGATTTGTGTTTGGAGAAGGGGATGGCAGGAAAGAATGGGCACGGCGCTATGTGCTGGGTTTTGTTTTTTTTTTTTTTTTTTTTTTTTTTGTCTTTTTGAGACAGGGTCTTGCTATGCAGTTCAGGCTGGCCTTGAGCTCACTTTGTAGCCCAGGCTGGCCTCAAACTCACAATGATCCTCCTGCCTCAGCTTCCTGAGTGGTGGGATTACAGGCATGCGCCACCACACCCGGCCCTATGTGCTGTTACAAGCGTGGGGCCCCTATAACTATTGTCATTAAGACAAAGATGCTGATGTCAGAAAGTGGACATTGCTTTAAGATCTATCTCTTTTAAATCACTTTTAAAATGTTCCCTGTTTGGATAAGTTTACAATCAGTTTATATTTTCATAAGAAAGAAAACATTGATCTTTTTCTTTTTGTTGCCTTTAATGGTTTTCCTAGAGCAGGAGTCAGCAAACTATTTAGCTGGCTACCTGTTTTTGTAAATAAAGCTTTATTGGAACACAGCAGTGTTCATTCATTGCATGTTATCTATGATTGCTTTTGCAGCACAAAGGCAGAGTTTTGATAAAGACCATATGTTCCACAAAACCTTCCTGGCCTCTAATAGAAAAAAATTGTAAGCCTCTTACTTAGATGAATAGTATTCTAAGAAATCTGGATAGCTGTTAAAAAGCCTTCTATTATTGATTTTGCAGGCTTCTTTAAGATTTGTCACTTTTAAGTCACTAATGTTTTGCTCTTTGAAGTATACTAGATTGACAGAAGAGTTGCTTATCAAACGGAAAATAGTGTATGTTTTAAGATGACCTACTTAAGCATATAAAGCAAGTAAGGTATGAGTTTTTAAATTGTCATTTTTTCTGTTATCTTTACCAAATTCTAAAATAAAGTGTATTTTAATATTTGTGGGGGTTGAGGTTAAGAACACGGAGGTACTTCTCCCTTAGCAGTGCCTTTGATGTGGATTTTCTTTTAGTTTTTTTTATGATTGTACTCCCAAGACTTCAGAAACCTCAGATCATTGTATATTGGTGTGCTGCAAATATTACGGTTTGTATTCCTGGAATCTCTAAAGCGGCAGTACAAGAGGTTTTACTACAGAAGGAACTTAGCTTTAAAACCTTTTAGTTGCAAGTGTTTAGACGCATGTTCTGTTTGGAGATTTGTTAGTCTTAAGAGATTTGACTTAACAAGCTGCATCCTGTCAGTAAAGTTGGGTAATTTCCATTGTTGGCCCATTCTGGGAATGGAGAGACAAAACACACCTGCTCTGCATGACTTAAAGCAAATATAAGGAAGTTAGCGTGAAATCTGGATGAGAGAGATATGATTCATTCTGTAAGAATGGCCAGCTGGCAAGATTTCTTCCTGAATTTGAGAACTGGAGCAAAACTGGAGCTGTGATCATTATTGGCAACTTGATATGAAGTAAAGTAACTTCTTATCAATAATTAAAAACTCATTTTTATTGCTTTAAAAAAGCATAGGTATCCTGAGGCTTTGCCAAAAGTAAGTCTTTTTAATGCCAGCACCTCTGGCAGGTCTCCGGGCCACTCTTGTTCTTGGCCCACTTGTTTTTTCACTTGTCACTTGTTGCGTTTCTTTGGATGGTAAGCCAGGGTCTGTAGTAGGGGTGATTGCCATTTCTGCATACTAAGGAGCAAACAGCATATTGTTAGTATTCAGCAAGTGCTGCTGCTAGGCTTGCTTAGCTGGTGCCTTGGTTTTCAGATGGTAATTGCAGAAAATTGTTTTCCAATTAAAGGAGAATGTCACACTTAATAAAAAGTACCTGTTTAAGATATAGAAAAACTGTAGCCGTTAGAATCTCAGTTGCCCCTCCACATCTTCATTCAAGGTCCTGAGCCAGTTTTACGGCCCTTCAGTTTTTGAGAGCCTGAGGCACAAACCGTGGTTGATAGACCCTTTTCTTTTTTGCAGATGTTCAGGCAGTTGCTTATGAGGAACCAAAACACTGGTGCTCTATTGTCTACTATGAGCTCAATAACCGTGTGGGTGAAGCGTTCCATGCCTCCTCCACAAGTGTGTTGGTGGATGGCTTCACCGATCCTTCCAACAATAAGAACCGTTTCTGCCTTGGGCTGCTCTCCAACGTTAACCGGAATTCCACTATCGAAAACACCAGGCGGCATATTGGAAAGGGTGAGTCTTCACTCTGACCTCTGTTGAGTTGTTTCTCTGTAGCGTCCTTCTTCCCTCAGAGGTCATTCCTGCGGCAAACTAGTGCTGCAAGTAGCAGGTGGCGTTCAATAGCTGCTGTTTGGAAATATTTTCAAATTCGTATGGATTGGAAGTTTTTCCGCTCAATAATTTTTATGGTATCCCCACTCTTATAATACTGAATTAGCTGAAATTGTGATTTGCTGTTTTAGGGGCACTGTTCTATCTTACATTTTCCTATGGAAGAGTATCTTTATAGACTCAGTTATTTAGTAATGGATAAGTGAAATAATTCTGTATCTTTTAGGTGTAAGATTAAACAACGTACAATGGATATATTTATTCTGTATTGCAGAATATACTAATATATACTAATATACTAATCTCTTTAATTAAGCAAATGACTAAATATATGACTGTTGCTTAGTGCCTTGATTTTCACTGTGGAGTAAGAGACATATGTACATGAAGGAAGGCCAAAAAATAAATATTGAGGCAGTAGATGGAGGTATCAGTGTGAAATAACAATTTTAATAATGCATCCATCTGTGTGTTAATGTTCTCGTGTATATTGTGTGTCTGTATAAACCTGTGTGTATGCAGCTAAATATATACTTTCTGATCTGTCCGCTGAACGCGCCGAGAAGCGAAGACGCTTCACAGTGAAAAGCACATCTTGTATCTAGATCATCAGTTCTACTGCCATTTCCTACTAAGAGGGCTCCTTAGAGAAATGCCTGCCTCCCAGGCTGGGTCAGGATGAGCTTGGAACATCTTGTTATGGCAGAAAGTAAAGAAATGCTTGTGAAAGTGATGGAGCATGTCACAGGAGCCAGCGCGGAGGAGCTTCTCCCGTACAACTGCTAATTTGAGCGCAAGATCATCGTCCTTTGGTATCCATGGGGGATTTGTGGAAGATCTTGAATAAATGGGAGTATCCTCCTATATGCTTTAAATTCTGTCAGGATTAGTTATGTCTAATACAGTGCAAATGCTACGTAAATAAGTATTACACTGTTTGGTTAAATTTATAGGAAAAAATGGAATCATGACAAGGTAGAAAAGTCTACATGTTTAGTAGAGATGCAGTTTTTAAAATTTTTTTTTTCTGAGAATGGTTGAATCTATGGATTCCTAATCTGCAGATACCACGGGGCAACTGTACTTAGGAGCAGTTAATTAAAATAATGTAAATTAAGTAATGAATTTAATCCATTAAAAGTAATACTAATTCAGATGGCCATACCAATAATAAATAGATTAAATACATGAATTGTGAAGGCCAGCTGGTAAATGTAGAGTTGTAGAGTTTGAGAAATAGCATTTTGCAACCAACATAATAAGGAACCAGGCAAGGATCATCAATGAGTGCTAAATCTATATGAACTTCTTTTAATGATAAGAATCAGGATATTTGCATGGCTTTAAGTATTTCCCCACAAACTGCCTATTAGTTATAGGGACAGTAAAAGCTATAATTACACAGTGGAGAAATCATATAATTTTGTGATTGTATAATTGATCCCTGAGTTGACTGGGGACCAGACATCGTTGCTAATGAGAGACAAGTGTAAATCACACACCTCCAGATTTGATGCCCACGGAAGGCTGTAACATCATCTCTGTAGAATTCCAGCTGAGAGTGCAGATCTCAACCTGTCCTGAGGAAACTTTAGATAAAACCCAAAGGAGGAAACTTTTGTTTTAAAAAGTGAGGCGTAACTCCATCTGTCAAAAGACGAAGGTGTAGAAATGTTTCAGAGTAAAATGAGTTAAAAGATATGACAGCTGGACATGATCCTGTACCTGACAGGGGACAAATACTGTGAAGGTCATTATTGAGTCAGCAGGCAAAACTGGAATATTAATGATAGATTAGATAAAAATATGATGTCAGGGTTAAGTTTGCTGACCTTGCTGACTGTACTGTGGCTGTGTGAGAAGCCATCTTACATATTTCCTGGAAAATACACACTTTACACAGGTATTTCAGGGTGAAGATTCATGATGAAATAATTGTGGAAGATTACACATCCACATGCGCACACACGTGCACACGCACACACACACAGGCACGGAAATAGTTTAGGAAGGCTATAAGATTTGATGTATACAGCGGTGCCTCAGTTTGCGAACTTAATTTGTTTTACAATTTGGGGGAAGATGGAATCATGTGTTTGTGTGGGGAAGATGGTCATGGTCAAATTTGTCACTCGATTTAGCATTTGTGAACAGAAGCAAAATTTTGCCAGATGCTTTTGTTTGTGAACCAAATTGCTTGCAAATAAAAGCATTCACCAGCCAAGGTATCTCTGTATATATAAACGTATTTTCTGTATATATAAAACAATGTTCATCTACTCACCATCTGTCTGGGTGTCTGACACAGTCCTGTCAGAATACATACAGGGGTGCGCGTGCATGTGTATGTATACACTTGGGGAAGGAGAGTGCAAGTGATAAAGCACATGGAGTAAATTGTCACAGTGGATGAATCTGGATGATGGTATACGGGTACTTGTTCTCTTTTTCTTTGTTCTATTTCAAATTTTTCCTATAAATTTAAAATTATTTATTTTTGGAATAAAAGTTTTTAAAAAAATGATCTTTGAAATCTGTAAAGTGGGCCAGATTAAAAAGTAATTTAATAGATGCTAAAAAGGTGTTTGAGGTAAAATTTTAACATTTCAATATGGAGTAGAGGGAGACCCGACAACTCCTGAAGCAGGAATTGGTATTTTCTTAATATGATTAAAGGAAACAAAACCTAAAAACACATTTAATGAGGAAATGCTAAAAGTTAGGGTCACAAATATCTTTCTATGGCTTGTAAACCCCTGAAATAGTGTATAAGCACAATTTTGCCTTTAGGGTAGAAAGACTTACTTTTCATTGAAATGTAAAATGATTATTCCCCTAGAGTAGTGAAAAGCCATTATACAATTTCTCTTAGAAAATTAGTAAGAAAATAAGGGTGCTGAGAGTGCTGTAATTTAAAATGGTTCCAGAGTCCCTGAATAAAGTGCTCAAATGTAAAATTAGAGATAATGGAAATAAGGATTGTCATTATTTGCAGATGATAGGATTGATTGATAATATTCTTGGGATAAATTCTTGAAATGAAATTAGTAGACCAAAGGCTTTTGATATATTTTGCCAAATTACATTCCCGAAAGCTCTTAATAATTTACACTCCTACCAGAAATATCCAAGTGCCTCTCCTTTCGCCCATGCCAATATTATGGCAGAACATTGTGTATTCAAATGTCATTGTTTATCTAGAAGCTGCCAAAGAATCTATTTTGTTGTTTTTGAGACAGGGTCTAGCTATGTACTTCAGGCTGGCCTTGAACTCACTGTGTAGTCCAGGGTGGTCTTGAACTCTCAATAATCCTCCTCCCTCAGCCTCCCAAGCGCTGGGATTACAGAGATGGGCCACAGTGCCCAGCAAAGAATCTGTTTTTTTAAAAAAAGTATATCAGTTGCCTTTAATCTAGCAGTAACAGCAATCTGGAAGAAAATGTAACAGGAAAAAAAAATCGAATTTCTAATAGCAACAGAAAACATAAGCTGGGGATATAGCTCAGTGACACGAGCATCTGCCTGGCAAGTGTAAGGTCCTGAGTCCGATTCCTAGTACAAAAAAAAAAAAAGAAAAAAAGAAAACATAAATTTCTAGGGAAGAACCTGAACCTGTGATATGTGAGAATTATATAAAGGAAATCCAGTATATTGAGAGAGAAAGAAAATTTGAAAAAACAAGCAGTCTGGTTTCCAAAGCTTAATTTTGTAAAAGCATTTTAGGATACTCATCCTCAGGCCAGGGATGTAGCTCAGTGGCACAGCATCTGCCTGGAAAGTGCAAGGCCCTGAGTTTGATTCCTGGTACAAAAAAAAAAAAAAGATGTTCATCCTTACTTAAGTTTTTAATTTAAAACAAACTATACCATCTTTTTTGAAAGTTGGGTAATATATATTAATGTATTTTCAATATTTCAATATTACCTGGATAAAAAAGTGAGAGTAGCTCAGATATTTTAATGAATGCGTGAAGAAAAAATTTCTTCATATTGGGGTTAATAACACATAAAAACTATAAATAAATCAGTGTTGACAAAACAGCAAGCTAAATTAAATTCAGACTGTATGTAAAAATCTAATGTTAAGTAAAACATAACAAACCACCAGAGTCTTCTAACATCCTGCAGTAACAAAGTTAGCTTTTGGGGGAAGAAACCCTGGCCACATATCATATATGCAAATAGACTGATGAATATTTTTAAAAAGACAAAAAAGTAGAAGAAGATAGATTTGATCAGATAGGTAGAAATGTTTTAAAGATGCAAGGCAGCAACAAAGCCTATAAGAGATTTGACTAAAGGATTTCAGGCTTCTCTAAGATTAAAAAATATATATCATGAACAAAATTAAGACAAAAGACTACCAGGGAAACAAGAAAAAAAATTATTGATATCCTGCCTAGATGTACAGTTTATAAAAAATAGTAAAAATATAGAACCCCAGTAGGATAAATAGGTAAGAAATATAAAGAGTGAATTCGTAAGAGAAACACCGGTGGCTAATAAATTAGGAGAGCACATCCAGCCTCACACGGATTAAAGCAATCATTATTTTTCAGCTGTAAATTAGAGGAATTTTGTTTAAGCTCAGATTCAGTACTGTCATGGGCCAAATGAGAAGCGCTCTCAAACACTGCTGGTGAGGGTGTAAATTGGTACACACATTCTGGAAAGTCATTTGGCAAAGTGAATCAGAAACCTTCGATCCAGTGATTTAACTTCCAGGAATCTGTCAAAAGGATATTATTAAGAGTTGTCGAGAGACATTTATCATGTCATTGTTGTAACAACAGAAAATTATTGTCAACACAATGTTCTGTTAATGGAAAAATCATTAAATAAATTGTTACATCCATATACTCAGGCATATGTTTGTGTTTGCAAAAAAGTATAATGATAGCCAACACGGAATGCAGTGTTTCACACTATTAGTGGTTACTACCTCTGTGTCCCTAACAAAGGGATACTATTTTCTGCTTCTTATTTTTACTTCTAAATTTTCTAAAATAAAAATTTACAATCATGGAAAAAACATTTTAGTTTTCCCTATATCAGGCTAAAAAGTGGGTGTCTGCCGTAGCAGTTATTTAATTGTTACAGAAGTGTTAGCCCTTATGTGTACATTTGTACACCACACATAATATTTCAAAGGAGAGAATTCTGTTAGTCTTGTCTATGGCATGACCGAGTTATCTAAAGGTGGATGGTTCAAAACCACACGGGGTATGACGCTGTATGCTGGGTGGCCCGTATAATCTGCCTTAGTGGTGTAGGGCTTTGTCCAATGGGTTTTTTCCTTGTTCCTCTTTTAAAAGATAGGTCAGGTGAAATTTTTTGTACTCCTGGAACTCCAGGTTTCACGTGAAGTCTGCAGGAACTGCTGGTTTTGTGAGCTCTTACTTTGCACACTAAGGCTTTTTTCTAATGTTTAAATTTTTTGTTACTAGACCTTATATCTTAACAGCTCTCAGCAATACTGTTTCCACCTGTGGTTTTCTAGTTCCCTTCTGCTTTTCTTGATCGTCCTTTTTCTCTAAAATTTCCCAAACAATTTAGGTGCAGAATAAATGCAAGAGAA